CAGCATCTTTCCTGAAATAGGAAGCAAGTTCACTTTGAGACTTTGAAACTTTTCTTCCGGCTCTCCGCTGGAATAGCTGCATCTCCACAGTCACACACAACTGGCCATGAATTCAGGTCTTTGGGACAGGAATCTCACGTGTTCTGTCAGTTGTCTAAGAGCAGAAGATCCTCTCCTGCCTAAGAGGAGGATAAACACTAAAAAGCCTTGAGCCTATGGAAAGCAGACGCTGAGATGCCTAAGGGTGCCTGTGGGGCCTGCGGAACTGAAAAAAGCAAACCAAAAACATTTAAGAAAATCAGGTAGCCTGCTGCCATATTGAAGGCCACAGGAGGGCATTTCCTGCTGTTTAGGTGTTTCTCATAACTGCTCTACAGCCTTGTCTGTATCTTTAGGCACATACTAGTCTTTTAAAAGAGAAAACCTTTTTTGTTTGGTTGTATATAGCTATATTTACATCACACAGTATTCAGTGTCACTATGACTGCTGCTGCCCACATGTGTTTAGCTGGTCCCTTCCAGGTAACTCCTCCTTTCACAATCCACATGAGTTTATGCTAACGTTGGAGCTACAGCTCCCTGGAAATGTTTTATAATAAGAACACGGATATGCGAAGTTGGGGCGGGAGGAGAGCAAATTGGTAGCCCAAATATTTTAGAGAATACTGAAATAATATGAAATATGATTGCTACTCGACTTCTATATCTCTATCTCCTCTGATCACAGTTTTCACTCTTAACAGGGTGAACAATGCCTACTGTGGGGAAAGGGGAGTATTCAGATGATGTAAAATGGGTTTGGGGCCATCCTGGGTATTACCTCTTACATATTCTACATGCTACAAAGTTCCTTCAGTCATTCTTTCAAAGCTTTCTTGTACTGAGCTGAAACTCTGATATGAACTCTTAAAAGTGGTTGTCTGTCCTAAAAGCATCTAGACCTTAGGGCCTCAAAAAAACACAGGCTGTCTCTGCAGTTTGGTTGGAGCAGATTTTGCTTTCCACCAAGACTTGTTTGCCGTGGTGGTATTACAGAGCCAAGGCTTTGATTATTGAGATTTCCATAACAAACAATAACCAATGTTTTATCACGTGATTAATTTTAAAATAGAACTTTTAACTTTTTCATTTCTAGGTGGGAATCACTAAATAGAACAGCAATAACCATGGGAGATGCTGCGAAACCTTGCTTTGCCAAACAAAATAAGGAACAGGAAATTTTTCATCAAGAAGGATTAAAAGGAAGTCCCTTACAGAAAGACTACCAAGTCATGGATGAGTACGGAAATGGCCATAGCAATAAAATAGATACCAGCCTGCAAAAGAAAAAGGGAACACCGTGTCATTATGGAAGCAGTCCCAGAAGAGGGCCACGTAGTGTTTTGAGTAGCCCAAATTCGCTTAAAAACACAACTTACAGCCAAGGGTCAAAGTTAAATGATACCCAAAGAGACCAAATGAAGAAATGGGTGTCTGATGACCACCGTGGTACTTCTGACAGCTGGAGAGAGTACAGATCTGTTGCCTGGATTCCTGCGCATAGCAGGACAAGAAGAGACTCTCTTCATGAAGTTGAAGGTGCTGGAAACAGAAATGTAAGACGACAACTTCTGGAGGACATAATGGGTGAAGACATGCCTGACCTGCAGAAAGGAATCTCTGGTAATCAACAAGTTTGTTTGGTTTTAGGCAGCTATCCGGTAAAGCAGCTGAAAAGTAAAATTTCAAGATTCACTATTAAAGCAAAAAATAATGTTTGTTCTGTCATGTATTGCAGACTGTTGACTGTACTATACTGCAGCACTTTAAACAAATTGTTACAGCAAACAGTACAGAACTTGTTTTATAAATTGTGTTGTCTTTGTAAGTTAGTTTATAAGTGGTAGGAGTGAGTAGATTGCAACATCTGTGTAGTGTCTCTGTTTGCAGTTTCCAGGTACAATTTGGTTGAATCTGTCAAGGTTGATAAAGGATGTTTCAGTTAAGTTGATACAGGGTAAGATTTTGGAGCTACCAGTGAGGTCTGTAACAATGTATCTTAATGAAGATCGAAAACAATGTCTCATAGATGTTGTGAGAAGTTAATACCAGCAATGATAATATAGCAATAAGACAAAACTCATTCTCCATGCATATTGAATTTGTCTGTCAACAATTCTTACTAATAACAAGAGTGCAAGCCCCAGGTGTTGAAATGCAAGAAAGAACAGGCTAAGGGAGGATAAAGTCATCAATATCATAAGATATTCATTGAATGTGAGTACCAGAAGGAAGTTTTAAGTAGATGAAGGCAAAAAGAGGAAGCTTTATAGAGAATATAATTAGATAAAATAAGAAAGGCTAAGGCACAGATGAGGTGCTGCTAACACAGAACAACTGCCTGTTAGCAAGAAATCTGTATTGTTTTAGTTAAGACTGGGTCCAAAGACAGTATTAAACTTCTCCCCTGCTGAGAAGGAAAGCTGGCTGATACCAGGAAGTCCAGGAATTAAATGTCCTTTCCCTTCATGTCAGCTGTCACTAAAAAGATAAACTGTGAGCAGGTGCCCAGTTTGTCTTATTGTTAGAAGTAAGTTGCACGGTTAAGCTCAACGTCAGATTAGGAAAGATCAGAGGAGACTGGTTTCGCAAGTCTGTTCTCAAATTTGCTGAGTCTTGTGAACTTTGTTCTGTGAAACTTCCGGAGCTCACTGAAGTAGATTTTTGGAAGCACCAGCAATCGTACCTGAGAACTTATTCAGGAGAAGTCAGCTACTGGTACATAGGAAAGGGCAAGTATCTATTCAAAATGGAAGTAAAAAAATGGTATGCAACTTCAGTCTTGGGAATCTGTTCTGGAACAAATAATGCAACCTACTGTAAGTATTTCAAAGGTAACAAAGAGAAGAGTAGCAGTAAGCATGGATTTGTCAAGAAAAACGTATGCCAAATCCTTCTAATTTTCTTCTTTAAAATGTCGATCAGTCCCTGTAGACTTGGGAGAGGCAGTTGGTAGATACTGGTAGTACTACGACTGTAGAGCTTTAGACACTCTTACATGACAGTCCTGTAAGTATACTGGAGGAAAATTCTCTACATGAAATTAATACAAGAGGCTTGCAGAGCTAATTAGATAACTAAAATCAGAAAATACTTCAGTGAAGATTTTGTCAAAGTGATAGGAAGCACTGAGCAAGCCTCTATGAGGATTCTGTTCTGTTCAATGTTTATTACACTAATCTGGTGATGAATGAAGACAGCATGCTTATTAGTTGTGTGCTTTTAAATTTGAATATGCTGTTGAGCTAGTAGGAACTGAATGTGGAAAAGCAGGAAGGTCAATTAAAACAATTTTGCACAATTGGAGAAATGACCTACATATAAGGTGAAATACGAAAGAAATATGTGCAATTTTTTTAGGAATGTCAACTGTACAAACAAAGGAGGAAAAGTTATTATAAAGTAGTATTTTTTCATAGAAGAATCTGAAGTGAATCAGAAAATGGTAATGAGCAGTGAGTGTCATGATGTTGTGAGGCATGAAAACGCTCACAGCCTGAAGTACTCCTTTTTCTGTAAGTCTTTGGTAAACTCATTTGCAGTGCTCTGTCCAGCTTTGGCACCCCACTTGAATGAATGAAATGGAAAGAGTTCAAAGAAGAGCAAGGAGAAAGCCAGGGCACATAGAAAACAGAAACTACACAAACTGTGGACATTCCCCAATCTTTCTGCAAAAGGAGAGGGTAGGGAGGCATGATAAGAGTCTTCAGCTGTCTAGAAAGGTATTAAAAAGCTGATGTAATAATCTAGCTTGTGTCTTTTCAATAGGTGGAGTACAAAGCAATGGGCCTAAAATTGAGCAAGAAAGGTTCAGACGAGGAATAAAGAGAAAGTTTCTAGTGGTAAAGCTAGTGAAGTACTGGAGACGTTGTCTGGGCTGCTTACAGAATATGTGCCTGGAGGCCTTTAAGAACGAGTTCGGTGACCATCACTCAAAATTAACAAAACTCATTTCATCCTGCCGCAAAGCACGGGCATAGCATAGCTCATCTCTTGAGGTGCCTTCAAAAGCTCTAATTCTATGTCAAGTAGCAAACAATTATTAAAAATGTTTCTTTTAGCATTTCCT